AAATCTCTACCACACAGCAATTAGAACAGCTTGCTGCATTATAAGTATCACTTCCCTGTCAAATTAGTGGTTCATGCTTATTGAATCTGAACATAACAGGCCAATTCTATCACACCTTGCTAGGCTTGTACTTCCATCCAATCAGAGCATTCCAAATGAACATGATTCTCCACAATACTAGAGGGCGCTCTGACCAAAAAATTGCCATTATCTAAATAAAAAGAACTGATATATATATATATATATATATATATATATATATATATATATATATATATATATATATATATAGTTGTAGATACAACAGTCGATTATTCCAAAACAAAAGTGCTCAATACAAAGTATATGTAGAGCGGGTGAATACGGTGATAGAGGAATTAATACACAACTACATGAATATTGAAACTAGACAGCACTGTTTCGTAAGGTACAAGTACCTCACTCATCAGGAGCTTTATGTTTAATCATTCACTGCACCAAAGAGCATACATTATAAGCTTCGCAAATTAACTTTTAATTAAAATTAAATAGAAAGTTATATATCTATATATATACATATATATTGATCTTTATGTATATATGAAGAAACAAAAAATAATTGTGAAAATTATTTAGTGATATATATATAGAGAGGGGGTCATAATTTTTTCTGAACGGGGCACCCTCTTTTACAAAATGAATAAAGGGAGGGTCCATTTATTTTTTTGAAAAAGCACCGAGAACTGCCCGACCCCATCTTAGGAATAATAAATGACCATTCCCTAACTGAGCAATAGGAGCCTGTTGGTGATGTTAGCTTATCTGATTACAAACTGAAATCAGGCCAACATTAGAACCTAGTGTATATAGATCAACATTGAAAAGTAAATTTTCATACCAACGGATATCAACAGTAAAGTTGCATTGTTCACAAATTATCATTTACAAAAGTGAATAAAAAAGTGCAGTCAATGTACTTACTCTTTAATAACAGCAATGGCTCAAGTCTGTAATGTGTTATGTTTTCGAGATGCATAGTTAACTGTAATTTCCAATAATGGAAAAATTAATAAACCATCACGATGAAAACAAAAGTCAGTAACACTGTTACTTTGGGATTGTTGTTTAGACTTACGAGTCCCTGAACAGACGCTTTTGGTGACTCTATAATAAATATCATAATGATATGATATGATATGATACCTTTAAATATGATATGATATATGCGTTAATTGTGAAAGTCAAATAAAGAAGCAAGCAGGAACAAATTATTCTATGTTATAGGCCTTTTAAGTTTAATGGTCACTTCGCCATTTTAACGATTTTTCCACAGTATTAACTACTTTTTGGTTACGACTGGGAATACCTACATTTTGTGTCGACCTGAAAATGTGCAACAATAATAACACTATAACAAACAAATTGTTATCACATGCACAGCTGCAGGGCTAAAATGTCTTGCATGTTTTTGATGACTAACATTTTGATTTCGTCGGCGAATGACAAATGAACGCATAAACGTAACAAAGGTGACAGACAAATGTTCATATATATGTATTTCAAATAATATTTAACACATTTATAGGATTGAGAATTTGACATGTATTC